GGCTGTGTGAGCTTTTACTTCATTGCTTTGTAATTCTACTAATGGTAAGATAAATCACTCCGAGAAGACAAAATATTTCATACCTATCATATGGTAAAATCATCTAACCATCTAATTCTGCTTATATTAGAAAGATATAACATTATATAATTGTTTTTAATATAAATTCAATTTGACGTAGTCTGTTTGTGTTTTTCCTTCTATTTTATATTTTCGTTCTTTTAGTGCAAAGTAAAATAGATTAAAGTCTAATGGAAGTGCCGAGTAATATTATTTGGAGAGTTATGAATAAACTGCTAACAAGAAAGATTGTTGATGCTGAATATAATCTTCTGAAAGCATGATCAGTGCTATTTTTGTAGTTCTATTTTTAATTTCATTTCCAGAAAATTTCACTATTCCAATGTCTGTGTGTTTTTTTACAGAATTCAAATATTAGAAATTCACATTCTGAACATTACGTTCCAAATATGCTTAATCCAAGACAAGAATCCTCTCCATGGTTACCAAAAAAATAACATAACATAAAATAAAATAAAATCCTATAACTTGTCATTTCCTACTATCAGTCCACACATGGCTCACTTGCATCCGACCATGTGTTATGTAATAATCATCTTCTCCTGTACCTCTTCAATTGATGCCTTCTGCTCATTTTATACAACCAGGCAAGACTGTGGATAGGAAGTGAAGCCACCAAATCATTACGTTTTCTACTCTTTCATGTTATTCTCGCAGTTGGTGATTAACAAACGATCACCAAATATCTAAACAAGTGTCGAAGCTTCCTCCTGAATTGAAGAAGGGGGCGATTCCGGGCAGGTTTTGCAGTATTCAAACAGAACTCGGCGCGCGGTCAATAACCGCCTCGGTAGTAACGATGGTGAGATTGAAGAGATCATGCAGTCATGCAAGCTTTGGGGGATTATAGCCACGTGATTCGTCTTCAAACCGGCATCTGTCTACTGACACAGTAATCGTCGTTCGATAGCTCCAAGAAAATCAGTTTCCACAGACTTCCCTCTCAACAACAAGACCATCGAGATGATGCTGGTGTAACGAACGGGTCGGCCAGAATGGCACTGCTCTCTCGGGAAAAGAAAACCAAACCCGATGGAATCACGGTGCACCGATGCTGCTCATGAAACCAGTTTTTGGATCCACTCCCCAGGCCGGATACCCTCCGGAGCGCAACAAGACGAGGATCTTTCTGCAAGAGAACAAATCAACGCGAGTGCTAAGAAGCATCTTGTCGTAAGGTCTAGCTAATATAGCTGCCAGGTGGCGAGATGTCCTTTTGTGGCGGTGGAAGGGATGGGTGCTGTGATAAGTAAACGCTGGCAAGTGGTCGTTGAGCTGCTGAACCCTGCTGACAAAGCGTGGATTAGGCTCTGAATCATTGGTATAATGATGTTGAAAATTCGTCTAATATCCCTTCGAAAAATCAGGTAGGAAAACAGTTATTTTCTTTTGTCAATCACCCCGTTGTCTGGACAGAAGAGATGATTCTAGAGCTCAGCTGCGATGAAAGTGGGTGTACGGCAACTTTCTTACCTACACAGGCGTTTCACCTAATTTGACTACCCTAGTTGGGTGGTGATAAATAAAGTCAAGAAACTGCGGCCGGCAGCTTATCCTGTAATCAATATCAGCTGCGGTACACAGCATGGGCAAATCAGACATCGGACTGTGCATGAACTTCGGATCATCGATATGAGTTTTTGGATCGTAGATCAGTTCCAGTAATCACGGACACAAATTCTACTCTATGATCTTTGATAAGAAGAGATCATTAGAACGGAGCTGAAGTAATCCAACGGAGATATTTAAGAAAGTCACTCTGTTTATTTCAAGCCAAGTTTATCACATTCGATCTGTTCTCAAATTTAGTAACTATTCTTACACCAACTCAACATTTATCAATTCATTGAATCAGGACCACTACCCTCCGTCTGTGCACAACGTTCCTTTTGGTCTAAATCATAATGTTAGACTTCCATTGCTAATGTTCGATGGTTGCATTCTATCTCCATACCTCGTAAAGCATGCTCTATTTCTTCAATCATGTTTGCAAAAAGAAATAGGTAATATTTACAAACCTCATGCAATCCACTGTTCGGTCTGTTTCCAAGTAAGATAGCTGCCTTTTTCAGCTTTTGAAAAATTGCAGCCAGATAGTAGTTTGTCCTAAAGTCCTAGCTTTGTTGTCACATACTGTTCACCTCTCTCGTGGCAGCAGGCAATCGATTTCAGAACCCTATCCAATCCAGACGCGTGAATATTTCCGCCGTCATATGCCTTTCCGAAGGTTGTCAGACTCCAAAAAACTGCCTGATGGTGCGAAGTAGAGTTTCTGACGAGGTGGCCATTGCGCCTCAAATTCTTCCCACAAATGGAAGCATGGATTTCTTCACTTTTTCCTGTGCGCCAAGCTGTTGAAATTAGGGCAAAATGCTTCGGTCTAGCAGTCAAGGTTCATTGTTCCAAACCCTAATTTGTTGCACTGTTGGAGTGTAGAATATCAGGAGAACGGCCCCTCGGAAGCAGTTTGGAGAATGCTGCGGAGAATCCCAGTCCTTCAAGTGTAAATTGATAGGATTAAGATGTATCTTGCTCACTGAGATGGAAGCTAAATCTCAAAATTTGAAGTTGATGGCCACAAAGGAGGATTTGTTTGACATGGTTGCACTATTTTAATACATTTTCCAATTTGTATTGTTATTCATCATGGAGATTGGTGTGCAAGTTTGCTTAGGAGTGAATGTAGGAAGGACTTTATTGGAAGGTGTCAGAGTGAAAGTTTAAGTACAAATTGAGAAGTGAATGAGAGAGTGTCACTGTGGATACCATCCGAGAATACTATTTGTTATTGGAAAAAGAGAAATATGGAGCATACTTTTTAGAAAGTATTAGGAAAAGACATCAGGAGTGAGCTTCAAAGTCATGGACTCTACCTAATGTTGCCCTCTCACGTTGTCATCTTTTAATTTATTATAGTAAAAAGAAATTTGATTGTGAATAAGGTAAAATGTGATGAAAAGAAAAATGTTAGTGTTCAAGCAAATCACCTCCATATCAATAGAAAAATAAATAATTAAATAAAGGACATTGACAACTCTTCAATTCATTGTTACTGGATTGGATATTTTGGCTATTTTAAAATCACTTTATTCAATACATTCTCTTCTATTTTGACACCCATTATTGAGAATAACACACAAATCAATGCATTATGTCTTGACTTGCAATATAGTATTTGCTTTTAGTATGACAATTTGATAATTCATGATATCTGAAATGTCACTCCACTTACAATGTATATTTTCAATACCATGAACAGACCCTGTTTTTGTTTTCATTAGATTATAATGGTAGTAGCACCTGTGTGTTCCTTGAATTCATGGTTTCAATTGTTGCAATATATATATATATATATATATATACATATTTCGAGTACAATTGGAAGACTGTTGCCTCCAATTCAAAGGCAATAATAATTTACTGCTTAATTTGTTTGTACAAACTTAGATTGTTCAATCATTCAAACATGTCTCTCTGTAGAATGTATTCCATCATGTGAAGTGGCTCTCTCACCTCTTTATGCACGTGACTTAGATGGTGTTTCAACCTACTATTTAAAAAACATCACCATAATAGGTCATTGGTTCCCATTATGATAAAGAAAGACAGTGGTATGGATGTTTATGTATAACATGAGTAAAGAGATGAGCATACTTATGCTTTTTTTTTTCAACCAACATCTCAAATATCACATAGAATTAAATATTTTGAAAATACTCAGAAGAGAACAGATTTTATAGAAGTAAAAAAAATACTTAGATTGTGTTGATGAAATAGTAAGAAATTTGTGATATTTGGAAGATAATAGTTATGACTCATATATCAATTAGATGCACTTATATTTGATAGACCCTTTGCATATTCTCCTTTACTAAGTGTGTTAAATGCTCAGAGAAGAATCGATTTTAGGATCTTAAATAACCTGACTTACAACTCTTGTACAAACTTTAATCTTCTCTTATAATACATATTAATGTGAATGAACTATTATTAACAAAATGATTAATAATCCATTTTAAAATTTTATTTTATATTTTATTATCTTTCCTAACATTCTTTTGCATGAATAGATAGATGAAAAAAAACCAACAAATTGTAAGACTGAATCATGAGAATTGAATTTTACAAAATTACAAAACAGTAACAAGATATGATAGCCATATATTCCTGATCAGTAGCAATAATAACAACCTATATAAGCAAAGTTGCACTATGGAAGCAAAGTTGCACCATGTAAACGAAAAAAAAAAAATAAATAAATAAATAAATTAATATGCAACTAGAAAGTTGAACTTGTAAAATATATAATCTTCAATCTAATTTAAAAACTTATCTATTTATTTAAAAAATAAAATAAAATTGTATGTCGAATTTTTCTACAACCCCAGTATTTAAAAAATAAAAATAAATTATGGCATTTATGACATTATTTATAACACAGCTTATTATTTTCCTCAATCTATCTACACAAATCAATACATGCTATTGCAATTTGATTACTCTATTTTTCAAAAAGAAATTGTGAAGAATACAAATTTATAAACTACAAGTACATCTTGTAACGCAAAAATCAAAACTCCTTTATAGCTTTTTGTCACCTATAAAAAAAACATCACAAAAAATTTCTCAACATTTAATGCACAAGTGTCCACATAAGCATAAATCGAGCATCAAAGAGGAAAGGCGGGAAAGAGGTTCAACCTTCGACGCTAATTTGCTGAGGTGTAAGCTGAGTAAGCGGTGTCCACGTGGACGGCCCGTCGCCGAGGGATCGAAATCGGACGCGAACAGCGGCACAGCCCGCCTTCGCGGGCGGCAGATCCAGCTTGGCAACGAAAGTGGGAGGCAGGGTCCACTCTCGTGACGCGCGGTGACTATCATCGCCGGCTTCGGACTCGCATACAAAAAGCCCCTCCGTGAGCGCCACAATCTTTACTAAGTGCGCAACTGTTTTGGAGAGGATGATTGCGAGTAACAAGGCAGTAGCTCAAGCAGCCGAAGTAGAAGAGCAACAACAAGCAAGCGTAGGATGTCGTAATAGTTAGTTACCTGCGCCTCGGTCTCATACTGATTATCACACCCAGTTTCACGCGAGAGCCGTGTGTGTAAGATTGTGGGTCCTTTTCTACCGCTGAGCTCTGAGAAGGCGACGTGCAAATCCCATCCAGATTGAGGGATGCCCTGCAAGCACCATTGCAGCTCTAGTGCCATGTACGTCGGAGTCGTGGACTTTATGGCTTTTGCTTAGTTGGTTGCGATCGGTGGTGTACGTCGGGTGGGGTTGGCGTCGATGTCGGTGTGTAGGTGATGGGGTTGGTGCGATGGGATGGGATGAGAGGGATGAGTTTGCGTTTTGGAGCGTTTGGTGTTGGTTTTATAGCTGTAGTGAATTGGAGTGAATCGGGGTTTTGTTTACAGTGGTGGCCTTGCGCTTGTGGGTTGTGATCGCAGATGAAGAGCCCGCGTTCCTATCTGGCGCTACTAGTGGCCAACTTTGAACCCCTTTAGATACATTTCTTGAATTCTTAGAGGTGTTTAGAGTTGGGCTTTGGTTCCCATTAGTGTTTGTGTTGGCAACGCACTTCTCCTTCTCTCTCTTGATCGGTTTTATAACGTTGACAGAGTCGGAGAACTTGTGCCGTTCTTTTTTCTTGGTTTATATACTTGTCTGTCGTTCAATTGATCCAGTTGTCATCGTGTTAAATTCGGCTCTCTGTCTTCTTGTTTTTGGCGCTGCTCTCATTTCCCTGCCTTGCGATCGGTCAAAGGCATGGAAGTTTGAAATTGTAGTGGCTGGTTCGATCGTTGTTTTGGAAAGGCCGTACAATTTCTGAAACTAGTCACAATTCTGTGGGTCGTCTTTCACTGCCGTTGGAGTCGGCATGCTTGTAATCGATTCGACAAGATATCGTGAGGAGTGCGTTGTCTGACCATTATGACCTTACCCTCGGTGTCGCTTACTCGAATTGTTTCCGTATGCAAAAGCGATCCTGCTCATTTTTTTTTTCGTGAATATGAGTTTTGACGCGCGTAATGCTGTTGATCGCAGATACTCTGTTACTTACGATTAAGCACGTGAGAGGTTTGTATCCCTTCAATGGCCGCCACCGATATTTCCAACACTCTGTCGCTGAGTTGCAAGAAGTCCAACGCCGCACTCCCCCACACTAGCAGAGTCTCCGCCCCTGATCGCAGCGCCACTGGGAAGCTCAAGCGGATGCCGCATTTGTTCACACGCATTCTGGAGCTTCCCTTGCACGCTGAGACGCCAGTGAAGGTCGTCGAATCCCGTGATTCCTTCCAATTTGAAATGCAGCAACCAGGATCAGCCGTAGATAATGTGAAGGTTGAAGTCCTAGAAATTGTACCTGGTGCAACCAAAGTCCTTGTTCGCGGAGTCGAGCGCTCCTCACCCGACGTGGACATTTCAGATGTGGATCTCTGGCGCTTTCGGCTGCCTCCTACGACTCTGCCTGAGAAGTCATTTGCGCGCTATGACCATGGGACCCTTTTCATAACGATCCCCAAGGTTTTGGTGTCCTGTCAAGAGAATCCCGACGCGAAAGAAAACGGAAGCACTCATTCGGACACTTCGTTGTGCGAAGCCCGTTGTGAAAACAACAGCTTTCAAGGTTTGTCCAGCGCAGAATTGGGTCAACTCGAGACCGACGAAGAGAGAATGCAACGAGAGGTGCTGGAAGATCTCGAATCCTTCGGAAGTCCCAGGAAGACGCGGCTGTCACCGCGTGCCAGTAACAGAGGCTTCACCCCTCAGCCAGTGATGTCGCACTCCGATCTTGAGAAGACGAAAGAGGCGCTGGAAGATCTCGAGTGCTTCGGCAGTCCAAGACGGAGCCGAAGCGCCAGCTGCACACAATCCTTTGAGAGCCACAGCATCGGACCCCATCAAGAATTCTTCCGGAGTGTGGGATCATTGGCGGGTGGCCTCTCTGTCTATGTACAATAATATGCACAACCCAACCTTCAAAGGTAATGTGTTCGTCGGAATTTTTCCAAGCTCTGCTTCAAGAACCCATGTATTTTCTTGCGAGTAGCTAGTTTTGGAGCTCTGTATCGCCTGAGGATCTGTTCGAGCAAGGTAGCAGTAGTGTACATTCTTATCTCAGCAAGACACAAGGTGTAAGATAAATAGTGAGGAGGGTAGGCTTGCTGTAGGATTATCTGCCGTGCCTCGGTGTACCAAGCTCAGGAGTAGTCGATTTGGTTTGCGGCTGCTCATTTGAAGCGGAAAGTGTGGAGGGATTAGGAGCTTCTAGTGTAGTGAGAACTAAACTGGTTACTAGATACCTTGCCTGGTGTTCACGACAAGTTTTACTTAAGCAAACAACCCAGGTTCTCAACTCTGTGTGGCAGTTTCTCGTGGTCGCTCAAGCTTGAGTTTCTGTCACGTCTCTTCATAATGCGTGGTGTCACGACATTTGTCCGAGTCGCGACAAACAAGTTGTGAGCAAAGGCGAAAGAACTAACCGTTCAAGCGAGCTTTGTACAAGGTGCACTTCTGTAACCCACTTGAAATCTGTTGTCAAACCACAAGTATCAACAAAACATCAAAAAATAGAAAAGCACATGTCCATCTATGGAATAAATTCATGAAATCGCAGCAGAATACTGCTTAAGCTTCAAATACATTTCACTGCGGAGCAATGACGACCTGGAGTCAACCTAGATGTTTTGCAGTACTAATTTAGTTTTGACTTTATTTTGACCTGATTGTTTGTGGCCGAATGAGTAAATAGTGAACTTAGTGCTAGAGGTTAGAGAACTTAGAGGGGAGAAATAGAAGAGAGGCCAAGGGGTGGGAAGAAAGAGAAGAATGGTGGAAAGAAAGACAAAACTAATTTTTTTAAGGCATGATCTTATCGTGCAACCAATACCTTCAAAGTTTGAAACTTGCACCTTGTGGTTAAACATGCCTCTCTAATTATCCATTCTAGCCCCTCTAACTAGGATTGGATTCTTTAAGTGTTGCAATATTCATACAAAATTATATTCTACCCAGCTTGTTGTGTGCCTATTATCTATGGTAGTAAGCAAGTAGCAGGTTGAATAGAATTCTCATAGATGGTTATAGACGAAATTTGATAGTGTAGCATTTACGGATGGTACTAATCTAAAGGATGTTCTACCAAAACATTTAATAAAGAAGGTGTGTATAAGAAAGAATTTCAAAGAATTAAGTTAAATTAAAAAAATAATAACACAAAGAAAAAACTAATTTTAGTTGAATATTTTTAAAGTTTTTTTCTATTTTTTTGGAAAAGATAAGTAACAATAGAGAAAAAAGTTAACTTTAATAAAAGAATAAAAAATAATTATTCAATTAATGACATGTTGTCACGGTCATAATCATGTAAGCTAATAATTACATATAGAAATAGGTAGAAGTAAGTAAAAGTAGATAAAAGTAAGTTAATTCTATAATATTTAATATAGAAGCTTCCTAGAAACTTCCTAGACGCTGCTTTGACTTCATAGGTGTCTTTAATTGACTTTTTGGATTAGAAACGTGGTCAACAAGTTGGCCATGTGCCACATATGTTGTTAGCTTGAAGATCAAGCTAACTATGTGGCCCACACGTAGAAAAACTTGCCTTGTAAGTCAAGGCATGTGTCCTACAAAGTCAACACATATTGGAGGTCCTATAGAACGTCGCCACGTAGCCCCTAATTAGATAGTATATATAGAGACAAGAGTGAAGGCTTCTTCACTCTTGTCAACTCCTTTCTTGCTTCTAGTCTAGTTTCAAGGGTCTCTAGTTTTCTTGTCTTTTGGCAATAGCCATTCTAGTTTCTCTTTTCAATATACATACTTATTATTCATATTTTGTTACTTTTCTTTGAGTGAAGGCTTACTTGTCTGAACTGTTTTTTCATCGAGTTCTTGTCCTTGACAGATTGACAAGAGTGTACTTACAATATCAGAGCTTTGTTTTTCTTGAGTAAGAGCGGATTATCCTTTTCTCTTGACAAGGCATAAGCGTATTAGAAGTTTGCGGATTACCCACTTCTAAACTGATATTGTTCTTAGTATCTTCTTTGTTATCAAGTCTTTCTTTTCTTTTGTCTTGAGCAGTATCAAACAAATTTTTCTTCTTAGTGTCATTATGGCAGAGCTTGTTGAAATGAAGAGTGCAATGGCACAAATGCAAGAGCAAATGAGGGAGTTAATGCTTGCGATGCATCAACTCAATTCACCAACACAAAAAAGAACAAGAATAGCAGAAAGTGGGGATATAGAGATGATCGGAGCTGCTTCAACATCTACAACAAATCACGTTCCTTCTCCAATTGTACAACACCCTATAAGCACTAGAGAACCAAGAATTGCCTTACTTGAGAAATTTGATGGTACAAGATCAAAGTTTCGAGGGTTCATCAATCGAGTACAATTGGCAATTGAACTTCAACCGCAAAGCTATCCAACTCCAGGATCACAAGTCAGGTTTATTGGCACTCTACTTTTTGGTTCTGCATTATCGTAGTTTTCGTCTTTTCTTGAACAACGAAATCCAATATTGGACAATTTGGAAGCTTTTTTGGCGGAGTTTCGATCTATGTATGGTGAACACGATGCAACTCGTGTTGCAACAAATAAGATCCGAATTCTGCGACAAGGAAATCGCTCAGTAACAGTATATGCTTCACAATTTTGACAACTTGCAATTGACATCAAGTGGGATGATGCTGCACTCATCAGTCAATTTCTTTATGGATTGCAATACGAAGTAAAGAAATTGATGCTCAACTTACCTGATCCTCAAACTTTGAGTCAAACAATCGATTTTGCGGTAAAATGTGATAATCAACTTTTCGAATTTCGATCCGAGAATCATTTACGGGAACCTCAACGTTATTACTCAATGGCAACATCAACATCTTTGCCAAACGTACATTCGAAAGTAAAAGACATGCAAATTGACGCGGTACGTTTTAAACCCCTAACTGAGCAAGAAAAGGTTCGTCGTCGTCAAGAAGGATTATGTTTATATTGTGGAGAACCTAAGCACACTGCTCAACATTGTCCAAAGAAACGACGCAACTATAAAATGAGGGGTACGACGGTCAAAGAAAACAACATGTCGGAAAACGAATTCGTCCAGCTACAATAGGGACCGTGCAGCCGGAACCTTGTACAATTCCTAATGAAGGTCCTATCCTCTCCTCAGAACCCTCTCCTTGTTTTATAATAGACTTATATTTAGGACCTAAGAATTACAAAGCCTCTGCTTTATTAGATTCGGGAGCCTCAACATGTTTTTTAGATGAACAATTTGTTAAAAGTCGTAAAATACCCTTTGTACAGAAACCTAAACCAATACATGTAGAAGACATAGATGGTCGTCCCTTGTCTTCTGGAGATGTCACTCATGAAACTCATCCTATAAAAGTAACAATAGACGGTCATGATAGCTACATAGCTTTTAACATAATTAAATCTCCGTCCAATCCAATTATTTTAGGTTTATCCTCGCTTGAAAAATATAACCCTCGAATAGATTGGAATTCGCGTAAACTTGACTTTTCCTAGAGCGTTATTAATAGTTCTACCAACCAAGTAAAAAATTATAAGTCTAGTATAGTAAAACCCGTACTGATAGGTGCAAAAGCATTTATACACGCAGCAAAAGAAAGATCAACTTTTGTGTTACAAGTTGTATACATTTTGGAAATAATATAGAACATTGCCACATAGCTCTTAGTCAAATAATATATATAGAGGTAAGAGTGAAGCTTTCTTCACTGTTGTTAATATATTTCTTGTTTTTATTCTTATTTCAAGAGTCTTTAGTTTTTTTTTTTAAAAATAGCTATTCTAATTTAATCTTATACCATCTTTAAGTGATTATATATTCTTTTCTAGTGATATAAGAATATATTGAATCTCTGGTTTTTTGTAATTCATGCCCTTGACATCCATTTGAAAAAAATACATCTTAAAGATCTTTATAACAATTGTAATATCATCTAGATTGAAATAATTTAAGTACTTCATTTGGTAATTCTACTAATGGCAGTTCTTCAAAAGAATCTTATAGTTATTTATTTCTAATATTTTTAAAATAATTCTATAATTTAATTTTTATTTTTTTTCTTGATTTATACCATCTTAATGTCAATGATTAATTACTTATAGGTGGTGGCTGCTGTCCTAATGGAAAACTTCCATCCTTTTATGAATACATCCATCCAATATTCTACCTAAACTACTTATTATTATTTTATTTACTATAAAACATATATCTTGAGCATATTTTGTATATTATTAAGATCATTTGTCCATTTATCTATTTTATTTCTTGACCTATTTACATATCAAGAGCCAATCTTTTAATCAATAATAACTTATCTAAAGTAATATCTTTTATAATATTACTTATTCTACTTTTACATTTATTTGTATATTTTAACACTTTTATTTTGCTATTGGTCAAAGGCTTTTTATCCTAATGCCTTTCTCAACATGTGTTTTCTATCTTTTATTAGTGTCTTTGTCAACAAATTAGTAAGCATATCTTCTATTGCATAAAAGTTTATATCAATCATTCTCATTTCAATCTTCTCTCCTATGAAGTGATGTTGAATGTCAATGTGCTTCGTCCTTAAATGATGCTTTGGATTCTTTGAAAATACAAGACATCCTTAATTGTCACACTCCATTAGAGTTGCTTTCTTTTGCAATTCTCCAATGTCTTTTAAAAGTTGTCTTAGCCATATTGCCTCCATTGCACCATGGCTTTTTGCCATGTACTCTACCTCTATTGTTGATTTTGCAATTGTTGGTTATTTCTTAGAATTCTATAAAATAGCTCCCACTCCAACAAAGAATACATATTTCATTATTGATCTTCTATCATTTTCATTTCTAATGTAATCTACATCACAATAACCATGCAAACTAATGTTATAATCTCTAAGGTATAATTTGAAATACAAAGTACCTTTTAAGTACTTCATGATCCTTTTCAAGGTCGCCTAATGGACTGGTCTAGTCTTTGACATGTATTGGCTCACAACACTCATCATATATGCAAGATCCACCCTTATGCCAACTATTACATGCATAAGTAAAACCACTGCTACTTTATATAAAACATCTTGCATTTGATCTTCAACTTTAATAAATTCTTCATTCAAGAGCTTCATCAACTTCAAATTGGCCTCTAAAGGTGTTTCAATAGGTTTATACTCTTCTATATTGAATCATTTCAATACTTCTTTAATGTACTTACTTTGGCTCATTGTAATGGTTTTCTTAGTATAATCTCTCACAAACTCTACTCCTAAAAAATAGTGAAGCTCTTCCAAATCACTCATCTCATATTCTTTTTTTAACTTTATC